GCAATCTTCCATGTCATATCTCACGAAGTACTCATTTCCTTTCCCCCCTCAAAATGTATTTTGGAGACTCTTACTATAAGAACCACTTAAGTCGGCCACTTACTAATATGGAAGTGTAGGAGGACAAATACTTTTTCCAACCTAAATGAATGTCAAATAACTTCAGCAACTGCTTCCTTTTTTCCCCATTTTATTTTCTTATAAATGGAAACTACCCAAGGGCAATAACTGTGTGTTTTATATGCCCTGTCAAGGTATAGCAAACTCTGAGGGTGTTAAATAAATAATAAATAGGAATAAAATTCCCAAATAATAAAACCGACTATAACCCAATCAATTGCTGCTAGTGATGCAGAAGCTGCACTTAAAACTATCAGGAATAAAGCATACACGTCCTTAATCATGGTGTCCAGACATACGAGCTACATTTTGGTAATTATAACTCAGTTAACTCATAAATACTTATTGAGTGTTTTCTATTTGATTCACTGCAACCTAACGAGAAAGTACCACTACTATCCTCATTTTAAAGTCAAATAAATGAGAATTTAGGAGATTAAAGAGCATGCCCACGTTCATATATTCAGCTAATATATGCAGACCTGGGATTCAAACTCACTCTTCTGACTCTAAAGCCAATGATGTTATTCACAATGCTATATAGCCTTCTTCTCAATTTAGCACCTATAATAGATGGATAATAATACTTTTCCTTGTGAAAGAATGTGGACTCATACCATTTGATTATTTAACAATACAAATCCTCACCCTGTGCAAGGCAGACAAGTGTTATTGGCCAAAGCATAACGATAGAGTTTAATGGACAGAAGCTATTGCTCAAGAATCAGAAATGGAGCATGTCCTCTTGTTTGATTTTGGCTTTGCATTTTAACGTCTGGGCAATGATATATTTAAGAGAGCATATGCTACTGGTAGAAAATTTGTTCAATATTTAAGGTAAAGAATTGCTTAAGGAGATGTGTCATTACCAAATAGGCAACCTTCTACTATACATATCAGAGCATTAAATTTTATTTCTTTACTTTGTTGTCTAACAATTTCAGTAGATTATGTGAGAAAAGAGTGAGGTGGCCAAAAAGTCTGTGAAGAATTTTAAGGCCCATTGAAATGACAGGCATCGTGAACGATCGCCATTGTATCTTGAATAATTAATTCTATTCAACTTTTAATGTCTTTGAAAATTTATACTGTAACCAGACTTTAAAAAAATAATTTATATTTAAACTTTCTCTTAGTATTCCTGCAGATCATGCTGTGTGTTACCAAACATTAGTGGGAAATAGTAGCTATAAACAGATGAAATTTGAGAAAATAATATAAAAATAGTAACGTATGTTATACAACCCAGCCTCTTTGGAATATGATGCTGATTTTTACAAACCATGCTTCATTTGACAGTGAACATATGGCATTGTGGTTCTGAGAAAGATATATCTCTGATCAGGATTTCTGTCATTAAATTTATATTTATCAAGGACCTTACAAAATTCCCTTGACATTTCAATGCATATCCCTTTCTATTATAGAATGAATTACACAAAAAATATCTATTAGAATACTGCAGCAATCACAAAACCTCAATAGAAAAACAGCTACGTTAAAATAAATAATATGGAATTTTAGCCAGAAGTGATTTTTAGTTAATTCTTATCCGTTACAAAGATTCTAACATGTAGGGCTTAGTTTTCGAGAGTACATGCTAATATCACCCAATATTTCTTTCTTCTAGAGTAAATTTGAAACATAAATTAGTGTCACCTCAGTTGGCATAAGAAATTCACATAGCAATGTGACCGGAGAAAGGGAAAGGGAAGGAGTATAAAAACAAGGAGAGAAGTAAGAGAGGTGTTTCTGATTTCTTCCTAAATAGTCAGCCTTTCATATATGCTTATTGAATGAATATATACATATATATATGTTTTTTTAATCAAATGAAAGTGTTGATACAAATTTTGTACTTGTACATTTTGAATTTTCCATTAATAACTGTCTCATACTTTTTGAATGAGATTTCAATTGAAATTAAAATTATTTTTTAAAAATCTGTGGTATAGATTCATCATTATCTCTGATTCTAATTTAAAAACAAAAATTAGAAAAGAGAATTTTATAAATCTCTGAAGATATGTAATATTCTGCAAAGAGTAAAGAAAATATGATTTTCAAATATTTGCAAGTGAATTTTAAGACATTAGTTAACTTCAAAAACGAGTTAGGTATATTGTATTCTCTTATAAACTATTGGTTGTAACATAATAATATTTCAATATAAATGAATTTAAGCACAAATCATATATCATATGTAACACGAAATAGAAAAGATATAAAGATACGATTAATGTCTCAAAAATAACACTAGAAATTTCAAAGGAAGATTACATAGTAACTAATATACAATTTTTAAAACAAAATGAATATACAAAATAGGGATATCTATTAAAATTGTGTGCAGTTATTAAATGTCATTCCTTAATAAGTAACGAACTAAAACCTGTTAAGCATTGATGTACTACACAATGGCATCGGTGCTATATTAAAATGATTAGTAGAAGGCAGTTGATACAGAGATTCAGAAATGTAAAACAACTGCTTGTTTTATATTCTTTATATTTTATTAGAAAAGCAATGCACATTCATTTTAATAATCAATTTTTATTTTCTATACATATTGTTTTAATTTCCCCAAACCATTCTCCAGAGTTAACCATTTAAAACTCATTTATGTATTTTATTATTCATCCTACAACAAAGACTTAGAAGTAGGCAAGAATGATTGTGGTAAACAGCCTAATTACAGAAAATAATATATTTTTACACTGCAACATTTGAAACCAATTTTGTGATTAATGAGAATGATTTTCTTCATGCATATTATTCAAGATTTTTTTTCTGTCAGAATATTAGTTTTCTAGGGCTGCCATAGAAAATTGCCACAAACTGGGTGGCTTAAAATAGCAGAAATTTATTCTCTCACTGTTCTGGGGGCTAAAAGTCCAAAATCAAGGTGTCAGCAGAGTTGGTTCTTACTTAAGACTCTGAGGAGAATCTATTCCATGCTTCTTACCTAGCTTTTGATGGTTGCCAGCAATCCTTGGTGTCCCTGGGCTTGTAGATGGATCACTCCAATCTCTGCCTCCATTTTCATGTGGCATTCTTCCACGTGTCTCTCTTCTCTTCTTATAAGGACACCAGATATACAGGACTAAGGGCTTGCCCTGCTCTAGTATGACCTCATCTTAACTACTTAGACCTTCAATGACCATATTTCCAAATAAGATCACTTTCTGAGATTCTGAGAAGGACAGGAATTTTGGGGGGACACTATCCAACTCAGTGCAGTCAGTTTCCATCTAACATTAAAGAAAAAATTTCCATACTATACAGGATCCAAAAATGATTGATGAAATAGGTGTATCATTTTTGAATAGAAGAGCATGACCTTTTACTTTATAATCGGGTACTTGGCTGGGAATTTACCCTTGGGAATTTTTCTCATTCACAAATATGCCTTACATACAAACAGAAACTTATAAAATTTTTCAGGAAGGATTCAGGGGATTAACCTAGGTGCATTCATTTGTTTCTAATTTGAGCACATTGTTCCCTAGAATATTTTCTAATTCTGATTTCACTGCAGAATTGTTCAGATTTGAATAAAACCTATAAAGTAAAAGCAAAATTGGGAACTAAAGTTAAATGTTACAGAGGTAGATAAAGTAAGTCTGAGGTATGTTCAAGTATTTAATTCTTATCTATCTTTTGCCCATATAGTTATGTTGATATTTTATTCACTTGTATTCACCAATTTAGAATTTGTAATAATAATTGAGAAGATGAATTTTTCCTGTATTTGAATAAATAGTTTACTGAGCAAATTAATAGTATAAATATGATTTCAAGGATAACTACTTGAGAAAACAATCATTTACATGCACCTTTAATCAACACGCCCATGCACCCTTTGACTAATTATCTCTTATTCATCCTTTAGGTCATAACTCAAGCACCACTTTGTCAGCCCTGGTTTCCTTCAGTAGATGAAATCTCTACTAGATGTTCTTGCAGTACCTTGTATCGCTTCTTTGTAGCATTTACTACTGTGTCAATTTTATATTGATTTTTGTGATTATTTAACTACTATTGCTCTCTTCCACTAGACTATGAACTCCATAGGACAGGTACTGTGGGCTATGTGTCTTTTACTCACCATTGTTTCTCTGCCTAGTTCAGTACTTGCTGAATAACTGAATAAATTAAAAGAGCATATTTATGTATAAAAAGTTGATATGTGAATTATGACTCAATCTCATCAATTTATTAAAGAATCCTCTACTAAGTGAACTTCTCCTGAATAAACATTTTACAATTACAGTTACTATCTGTAAGTAAAAACATTAAGGGTGCATTGATTTTAATATCTTGAATACATCATATGCTTTTCTATTTCAAATGCACTTGGTTGAATTATTTTGAATAGCTCTATTAAAAAATGAAGGATTCAAATGATGAGAGATTTTACTATTTATCAAAGGCATTATGGGCTATTATTAAAATAAACACAACTGACTTTAAATATAAGTTTTGTGAAACATTCTCTGTAAGAGCCGTTAGAAAAATTCTACATTTTTACTTTGCAATATGTGAAATCATGGTATATATCATACGGAAAAATCCCTTTAAAACAATGAACACTATAATTTCAACAATGAAATTTACGAGCATGATGCATTTAAAAAATAATACTTGAAAATTTAAAATTTGCATAATATGTATATTTGATAAAGCTATAATAATTAATTATTCCTAAGTAGGGAAATTAAAATTCATTCCATGATCATTATTAATTATTTGAGCCACAGAAAGTCTGTTGCAAATCTGAATATCTAAATTCAGAATCTAGAGCATGCAGCTATAATTATAATCTCTCTCTTTTAACAGCTTGAGTTTATTTAGATAAATACACATAGTATTGCTTTTTTAAAAAAATTTCCTTGTTAGAGAAAGGACTGTATTTCAAAAGTCAAATATAATGCTAAGATAAACACATTTCTCCAGTTTTAAGATGCTGCTGCTCCTTGAGTTGAACTTCCTGTGTCATGCTAATATTTCCAACATTTTCTTTTTGACAAAAAAAAAGCTAAGTAGCCTCAATTTCCACACATATATAGTACAGATCTATACATATCCCACACTTTCTTATATTAAGCTGTGCAGGAATATCACATGAAAAAAATTAAGAGAAACTGCGATGGAAAACTTGAAAGATCAGATGATGACAACTTTCTTTCTCATAACTTGATAGCTGCTCTAAGCTTGGCTGAGCGCCCTCTGGGGTTATTCTGAACATCCTGATCTTCTGGAGTAAGCACCTTCTTGTGTATCAATTCCCACATTAAAGGGGCCCTTCCCATGGAGACTCCTTCCTTGTTTGTTTGACCTGAACCCAATTGCAATGATTGTATCACCTTCTGTCTAGCACTTAGGTTAAATCTTTCTGCCATGCTTATCCCAAGCAAGAATCGTTTGACGATGCGATCCTCTAGTGAATGGAAGGAGAGGGCAACAAGACGACCACCAGGTCTCAGAAACTTCTGAGCTGTCTTCAATCCTGTGTCAAGTTCATTGAGCTCATTGTTCACAAATATTCGAAAAGCTTGGAAGGTCTTGGTAGCAATATGGGTAGATCGTTGCAGCAAGTCTTTTCGTGCATAAATAGCAGAGGCAGGAAATGCACCTATAAACAGATTTGTAAAGACAGGAAAAGAGGACAGGTAACATTAATATTTTCCACTGTAAACCTACTGAGTTGTGTTGTGTGTTTGTGTACTTAAGAAACTAAATTTCCTTAGAAAATTGTGGCATTTCATCCATACTTCTCCATTTTATTTCCAAGCACTCTACCAAGGTTTAAAACTATTGTGTCAGAAACACCTTTCATAACTCATAAGGGTAACTGGAGTCAAAGAAGGAGCAGAGAAAGAGAAAGAGGCAGACAAATATTTGAAGAAATAGTAATGAAAAACTCTCCAACTTAAGTGAGAAACACTAACTCACAGCTACAAGAAGTTCAATAAACCCCAAATAAAATAAACAAAGAAAACTGTACCTAGCCACATCATAATCAAACTACTATAAGCCAAAGATAATGAGAAAAATCTTGAATACAACAAAGAAAAGCAATATGTTACATAAAGGAGAACAAAAATACAACTAACAACTCATTTCTCATTAGGATAAGAGAGGCTATCAGATACTAGAATAACATTCAAATTGTTGAGGAAAAAATCTGTCTTCCAAGAAGGCTATTCTAAACTATTATTCAAAATTAAAGGTTCAGAGACATTTTCAAGTAAATGAAAATCAAGAGAATTCATTGCTAACAGGTCTATATTCAAGAAATTCTAAAGAAAATTTCAGGCTGAAATAAAATGACACCAGGTGATAACTTGGATATATAGAAAGGAATGAAGGAATAAAATATATTTGATGTAATATACATTTATAATTATATTATATATTGTATACATTGTATATATTATATATGATATTAATTATATTACATTATATATATTCATTCTTCTCTTAATTTCTTTAAAAGACAGGACTCTTTGAGTAAAATTATGACACAATATTCTTGGGTTTATAATACAGATATAGATAACATACTGTATTTGATAGCAAAAGCACAAAGGATGAGAGTGGGTAAACGAAACTAGACTATTGCAAGGTTCCTATATTTCCCTGGAAGTTAAAGTTGATATTGTGGTCCCTAGAGAAACCAATAAAAATAATGCAAAGACATAAAGCTAATAAACTAATAGAGAATAAAAATTGTCCACAAAATATATTGTTTAACACAAAAGAAGGCAGAAGAGAAGAACAGGAAAACAAAAACGAGACAAAGAGAAGACAAACAGAGAAATGGCAGACAATAAATCCAAATATAACAATAATTACATTAAATATAAATGTACTAAGAACTCCAATAAAAATGCAGAGATTATCTGACTGAAAAATAGCAAGACCTAACTATACATTGTCTACTGAAACGTACTTTAAATATAAAAACACAAATAAAAGTAAAAGTAAGCAAAAGGCTGCATAAAGATATACCATGAAGACAACAAACATAAAAAATCTGGAGAGACTATATTAATATTAGACAAAATAAACTATTTATTTATTTATTTATTTAGGAGAGGAAGATTGGACCTGCACTAACATCTATTGCCAATCTTCTTCTTTTTACTTGAGGAAAATTGCACCTGAGCTAACATCTCTGCCAATCTTCCTCTATTTTATATGTGGGATGCCGCCACAGCATGGCTTGATGAGTGGTATGTAGGTCCATACCTGGGATCCAAACCTGTTAACCCCAGGCTGCTGAACTTAACCACGTGAACTTAAGCACGTGAACTTAACCATTACGCAACTGGGCCAGCACTCCAAAATAAACTTTTAAAAAGGAGAATTACTAGACCCAGAGAGGAACATTTCCTGTTGAGAAAAAGATCAATACAGCAGGAAGCTACAACTATAAATGTATATGCACCAAATAACATAGTTCCCAAAATTTAGACATCTCAGAAAAAGACCCACATTTATATAGGCAATAGGTTTTTGGCCAAGTTGTCAAGTTAATTCAATGGAGAAAGAACAGATTTTCAATGAAAGTGAATATCTGTAGAAAAGAAGATGAACTTCAACTCTTACTGCACACTATACACAAAAATTAATTCAAAATGGATCATGGACCTAAGAGCAAACACTAAAACCATAAAATATGTATCTGACAAACTCTCTTATCCAGAATATATAAAGAAATCTCACAACTTAATAATAAGCCAAACAACCTATTTGAAAAGGGGCAAAAATTTGAACAGACATTTCACAAAAGAAATACCCAATAAACACATGTAAAGATGTTCAACATCATTATTAGTCATAAAATGCAAATTAAAACCACAATAAAATACCACTACACACCCACTAGAACTGCTAAGTGCTAGAAAAATACAAACTACTGAAACTGACTCAAGAAGAAATAGATAATCTGAACAGACCTATTACAACTGAAGGGATTGAATCAGTAATCAAAATCAACCCACAAAGAAAAGCCCAGGCCCACATGACTTCACTGCTAAATTCTGCCAAACATTCAAAGAATTAATAATAATACTTCACAAACTCTTCCGAAACACTGAAAAGGAGGGAACACATCTCAAATTATTCTATGAGGCCACTATTACCTTGAAACTAAAACCAAAGACATCACAAGAAAATTACAGATCAATATCTGTTATAAATATAGACATAAAAATCCTCAACAAAATATTAGCAAAGCAAATAAAGCAGCAATATATAAAGGATTATACACCATGACCAAGTGGGATTTATTCCTGGAATATAAGGATAGTTCAACACATGAAAATTGATTGATGTAATACATCACATTAACAAAATGAATGAAAAAAAAAACACATGATCATCTCAATTGATGCAGAAAAAGCATCTGAAATATTCAACATCCTTTCATGATAAAAACACTCAATGAACTAGGACTAGAGGGAAAGTACCTCAACATAATAAAGGCCATATATGAGAACCCACAGCTAACATCATATTCAATGATGAAGGACTGAAAGCTTTTCCTCAAAGATCATGAACAAGACAAGGATGTCCCCTTTTACCACTTCTATTCAGCACAGTACTGGAGTTTTAGTCAGAGTAATTAGATAAGAAAAAGAAGTAAGAAGCATCCAAATTAGAAAGGAAAACTATCCCTGTTTTCAGAGGAAATAAATTTGTATGTAGAAAACACTAAAGATTACACACACACACACACACAACCCTATTAGAACTAACAATTCTAACAAATTCAGCAAAGAAGCAGGATACAAAATTAACATGCAAAAATTAGTTGTGTTTCTATACACTAAAAATGAACAATCCAAAAATGAAATTAAGAAAATTCTATTCACAATAACATCAAAAAGAATTAAATGCTTAGGAATAAAGTTAATAAAAGAAGTGCAAAATTTATGCTAAGAAAGCTATAAAACTTTTTGAAAAAAATTAAGATGGCAAAACTCCCCAAACTGATCTAAGATTCAATGCAATCTCTATCTGATCCCAGCTGACATTTTGGTATGAATTGACAAGCTGATTCTAAAATTCATATGGAATTGTTAGAGACCCAGAAAAGCCAAAATGATCCTGAAAAAAAAAAAAATGAAAGAATAAGATAGGAGGACTCAAATTTATGGATTTCAAAACGTACTATAAAGCAATGGTAACTGAGACAGTGCTGGTGCAACAATAGACATAGAGATCACTGGAATATAATTAAAAGCCCAGGAATAAACCCACATATCTATAATCAACTGATTTTTGACAAGAGTGCCAAGACCATTCAATGGAGAAAGAACAGTCTTTTGACCAAATGGTGCTTGGGTAACTAGATAGCCACATACAGAAGAATGGAGTTGGACTCTTAAATCATATACAAAAACTAACTCAAAATGGATCAAAGACCCAATGTAAGAGCAAAAACCATAAAACTCTTAGAAGAAAACACAGGGATAAATCTTCATGACTGAATTTGGCAAAAGATTCTTAGATATGACACCAAATCAGAAGCAACAGAAGAAAAAATAGATCAACTGGACTTCATCAAAATCAAAAACTTTTGTCCTTCAAAGTACATCATTAAGAAAGGGAAAAGACAACCTGAAGAACAGAGAAAAAAAATTGCAAATCATGTATCTGATAAGGGATTTGTGTCTAGAATATGTAAAAGAAGCAAATTACAAAATGATACATGTATAATATTATTTATGTAACATTTTAAAACATGCACATCAAAACAGACAAGCTCCATCTAGTTTTCAAGAATTGGGATTAACAAAAAAAATGTTGATTTTTAAATAAATCAATAAATATGATTTTTCTTAGACTTACCCCATTGGCATATGGGGTAGGATATGATAATATGATAATAAAGTATAATGTTTGATGAATTTATACAGAAATTTTTTATTTAATTTTTGATTTGATTAATCAAAATTTTGTATTTTTTTTCCTAAGAACATTATCCCATAGAGAAATAATCTTTCCAATCCAGATTTCCTATGTATGAAGATCTGAGAGCATGACTGCAATCCTGGCACCTGAGTCTCCTCAGCGTGCTTCTCACGGCAAGGTAACCTACATAAGGCTGGTAACCGAGTTCACATTCTAGTAGTCTGTAGCTCCAGTAGTACAGTGAGACATAGCTCATTAATTTTCTTAGGGGACTGGATCAGAGAAGGGGAGAAAGAATGTCTTACATGCACCAGGGAGCTGAGAACCTGGCTGCCTAAAGTTAACCAAATCAGTGGTATGGGCTCACTCTTTCCTCTACAAAAACTACTTTGCTGAAAGGCTAGAAAATGTTAGACACTATGGAATTTATCTTCTAAAACCAGGTGTCTCAAAAACAAAATGTCAAAGTCAAAGTTGAGGGAGGTCAACTTCTTTCTATTTGCTATTCAATTTCTCCCTTTTCCAGAGAAAGAGTTTTGGTCACTGGGAAATGTGTTTCAAAACATTCTGAGGATCTGAACAAACATGCAACATCATATTTTAGAGTTTGGATCTAGAGGATGTTTCAGGAAGTTTGCTTTCCTGAAGAACTTGCCTGATTCAAGTCTTGCATAATTCAATACTAATTTTCTCAAAGGAGAAATGTAATATAAAATATACTTTAATGTACATGTATTTTAATGTAAAATAGCAGGTAAACCTTCATGAAGCACATGGATTAACAAATACTGTAGAATGTTTTTGCTTTAATGCTTTAAAAAATTTTTTTCCTAACATTATCTCTAATATTTTGTAGAAATTAAAAGCATGGCTCAACATGGTAATTGCTTAGCTTTCTTGGCATTTTATCATATTTCAGAGATACACATTTGAAGATGTGGTTTTTAACACAGCACCGAATTAGCCATGACTGGCTATGTGTTAACTAAATTGATGAAATAATAAAAAGGCAGAGATCTTAATAAATACTTTCTTGCTTTTGTCACTGAATATACTTTTGAAAACTAATGAAAATAGGAAATGTTAAAATAACAAAATAATGCCTGAAATCACCATAGAAGTTCTAATATAAACAATGGCATTGGTTCATCTGACATTACAAAGTATGGTAGGCACTTCTGTCTACCAGCTAAAATGGCCCCTTTCTATCGCAGAATTATAGTTTATAATTCATTCAGCCAGCTAGCTGTGAGACTATGAGATTCCTGACTAATTCTTTTAATTGAGAGAATCTATTTTTATTTCAAAGTATTCACATAAAGTGAGACTTTATTAATATTTTATATTATGCAACTTCAAGTTTATATAACTCATATTAAGTACATCCACACTATATATAAATCTGGAGCTGACAAATTAACATCACTGTGATCAGACAAGCTTTTCTTTATAAGGTCTAATTAGGCCTTACCAACGTCATATCATGGAGAAAGAAAACAAGAGCTTTCATTTATACAGCCACACGTTGCTTAACAACAAGGATACGTCCTGAGAAATGTGTCATTAGGCGATTTCATCGTTGTGCAAACATCATAGAGTGCACTTACACAAACCCAGATGGTAGAGCCTACTACACACCTAGGCTATATGGTATTAACCTTATGGGACCATCATCGTCTATCAGTCCATTTTTGACCAAAACGTCATTATGTGGTGCATGACTATATTTAGGAATGGATGGTCCTGAAGATAATAGGGTAACCTTAATCCATGAAGCTTTTCTTCTGGGGCTTTCTTACTTTTGGTTAGGGAATTCTAATCTGGACTATGTCCATTGGGTTTTCTGGAAAGAATTTCTAGGTGTGTCCTGTCAACCTCCTTAAGTTCCATCTCTAGGGACCAGGAGGTGACAAGGGATTGCAATGGGCGAAAGGAACAAAAGAATATGAAACAGCGTACGGTAATGAAAATTAAAGCAATAAAAACAAAACATCAACTGGCTATGGTACAAAAAGACAAGAAGACAAAGGACAATCCTAATATCAAGGGTCAAGCAAGGTTCTCTGTCTGAATTAGAAAGTTTAAAGACAATCAGTAAATGTCCTGTGCCTCTGAGGTAGCAAAAATGAGTTTCCTTGTGGAAGTCACTGGTCAGAGAGCAAGGGAGAGACTTCCCTTAGGAATGCACAGACATGGTAGGAACGTCTGTCTACAAGTCATCAGTAAAAAAAGATTCAAAAACTACACCAGATCCAATGCCTGTCCATGTGTTTACTCTGAACTAGGCCATAGGAAGAAAAACATTACTGAGACCTGGTCCCTGCCCTCGAGGAGCTCACTGCTTGTAATCCTTCTTCCCTTTTCTCATCTCCCATATCCTGTTACCAGAAATAGAAATTGGTCTCTCTGCTTTTCCATTTCCTGAGTTTAATCACAGAGTCTCCTATGGCTAATTCATTTGATTAAGGCATAGAGTAGGTAAGACAGAAAATATGGGCTCAATCACAGTTTGAGTCATTTGGTTTGGTGCTGAGAGAAAAATCTCCTTTTTGTGTTTTCTAGTCTGTCAATGGACTTGGTTAACACTGGGCCAGCGTACCCTAGTTCCGAGTGGGAAGAGGTGTGCTTACCTCTCGTGCAGCCCTTTCCACCCTCTACTGTGATTACTAGTTTCCTTGTCTGTCTCACTCACCGCACTCTGACCTCCTTGGGAACAGGAACTACCTCGTGTTCACCCTCACACCCCTTGAGCTTAACAGAGAAGCTTACGCTTCTTCACCTTGACTGCACGTCAGAGTCACCTGTGGAGCTTTTGACACAATCAAGTCCAGACCTGTGAATCAGTTTCAGGGGTTTATTACACAGGAACCATTACTTTTAAAAAGCTTCACAGCAGATTTGACTTGAAGCCAAGATTAAAAACTACTATAATAAACACTCAGTAAATATTTGTTGAAAAGCTAATGAATAGATACTGAATAAAAAAAATAAATGGATAAATGAATAAAAATCCAGAATCATTACTACAGTTTCATTCACATCATTGGATGGATATATGAAGAATATAATATTCAGTCACATCAATGAGTGACTAAATGAGCATAATATTTTCAGTCACAGAAAACATTATGAACAGAATTTAAAAATACTGTCATGAAATATGTCCTGTCCTATATCCTACTTTTTTGGCCAAATGTGATTGTGGGTACCAAACTATGATTTTGATGGGGCAGTTGAACTCTTAAATTTGCTAGCAATTTCATTGTCTCAATACAATTGTTTGCATGTATTTAAAAATATCCGATGCTGACTGGGAATGTCCTTAATGAATCAATCATTTGCACATGCAATGGAGCACCTGCAGATAAGTTTAACCTCAGGAAATGCAAGCTTGCAGGCCTTTATTATCCGACATGAGCAAATGTGCAAGGTGGACTTTATTTTTGCATATTTCTTTTACAAAATAAAATAAGGTGTGAGAATGTAATGGTAAGATTTGGAAATTTATATTTAAAAAAATTCATCAAGATCTTGGGTCATTTAAGTTCAAGTTTTTCCCTCAAAGATTAATGCACAATATTGTTGAGATTTTATATAAGCTTTATTTCGCTTAACACCTACGAAATCCTAAACCAAAAATTTTCTCAGTTCTTCAAAATAGCAGAACTGTTTTCCTCCTAATACTTTAAAATAGCAAAATTATGTCAGTAAAACTGACTACAAAAGGAAATTAAAAGCTAATATACATTTAATAGCAAGATGTTTTCAAGTTAAGTACACTTTAAAAATGTACATTTAAGAGTAAATGTACATTAAATTCACTATGGGATAACAAGTTCTAATTTCAATACAATTTTGAGACATTATTTGGAACTTACCTTTCTCACAGTAATGCTGGGAAAATTTATGACATAAGAGATTGATCCCAGCTGTTCAAGCAAGTTGTTAAAGAAGTCTGCCTCCTTAGAGGCCCTCCATTCTCACAGTCCAGATCAGGTTTGTTGGTGCGGGTATCTTTTAAGTTCCTGACAGTTTCATATCTTTACTGTTCTCTTTCTATCATATCAGCAAATTCTGATGGCTCTATATCTGGAATGTATCCAGAACCCTACCACTTCTCACCAACTCTATCAACTGCTGTCACCCTAGTCCAAGCCATCATCATCTTCTCCACACAGCCACCAGACCAATCTTTTTCATACAAAAATTAGATCCTGACATTCGACTGTTCAATACCTCTAGTGTCTTCCTATCACATGAAATAGAAACTGAAGTTCTTACCTTGGACAAACGTCCCTATGTCATATGCAACCTCTGCTTCCTACTGCCCTCATTTCTCTGCCCTCATCTCCTGACTTTGAGCTCTGTATTCTTAACTGAACCAGGGCATGGTCCTGTCTGGGTCCTCTGATCTGTACCTAGAATACCTGCCTTCACATACCTGGATGGCTTACTCTCTACTTCATTCAGGTGTCTTCTCCAACACCACAGAATTAGAGAGGAAATCTCTGACTACACTTATCAAAAATAGGACCCTGTCACTAGAGTCCCCTTTGTTTTATTTTATTTTTTCATTACACCTTATGAGGGACAAATATTTATTTGTTTACCATCTGTCTTCCTCCACAGAATATATACTTAGTGAAAATAGAGACTTTGTTTATTCGCTGCTATAAATCCCGTGCACCAAGAAGAGTTCGTGGATTAAAAGAGTGATTACATTTATACTCTTTAAACATAGTCATTGTTAAAAAAAAAAAAAAGCAAAAAGAAATATTATCAGTTGTATATGAAGCAAAATGTCAATATCACTACTCCTTAAATTCTAGCCCCAAGAGGCAACCAAGAGGTATATTTTCTAACTTTTTCTTGATAGACATATATGACATTTTGTATATAATGTATGTATATATATTTATAAGGGAATGATCTGCACAATGATCTACAACTTGCTTTATCTACTTACCTTACTTTTAAAAGTAATTTCAGTAGTAGAGATGCATTATAATTCATTTTGTTTATTCAATTAACAAATGTTTGTACTGTCAAGCACAGTACCAGCTAACTGGAAATACAACGGTAATTAGGATAGAGGTAGTCTCTACTCTGGTGGAGCTTATATCGCCTCCACAGCAGGAATATTTAGGATTTTTCTATTTTTGCTGTCACAAAAAATGCTGCAGTAAACATGTGAACTACACATTTTAAATTTCTGCATGGCAGAAAAACCACAAAGTAAAATGACAGTCACAATCCGGGAAAAATATTTGTAACTGTATGTGAACCTGTGATAGTATGTCTTTAGGATTAGAGTTGTTAGGTCAAAGGCTATTCATGCTCATTTAGATTTGGATCAATACTTCTAAGTTTACTCTCTAAATAGATTGTACCAGTTTTCTTCCATCAATAGTATATGAAAGAGTCCATCTCCCCACATCCTCTCTAGTATTAGAAACTATCACTCTTTTTAACCTTGACTAACAGTCTAATAGTAAGCAAATGACAGCTTACAATTGTTTTAATTTGCATTTCTTTAGCAATTAGTAGAACTGGGCATCTTTTCAAATCTAATGGCGATTTGATTTCAGGTATGAATTGCTTGAACAAACCCCTTGTCTATGTTTTTAATGTGATGTCGCCTTTTTCTTTATTAATTTGGAAGAGCTATTTATAAAATAAGGATATTAAACCTGTTGTATCTCATATATAGTTGCAAATATTTTTCCTGGACTGTGACTGTCTTTTCACTTTGTAGAGTTTTTCTGCCATACAGAAATTAACAATTTCTATATAGACTTTTTTTTCATGTCTTTTAGATTTTATCAAGTTTAGGAAGGCTTTCCCTACTCCAAGATTATAGATACAATCAACTCTATGCTTTTCTAGTATATTATGGTTTTATTTCTTACATTTAAATATTTAATCCATAGGAAATTAATTTTTTTAGTATGGTATGAGGTAGGGATCTAACTTCATTTTTTTAAAAACTATGTAGCAACTGTCCTATTTATTAAATGGTACATTCTTTCCCTACTCATTTGAAGTACCACTTTGATCATATACTACATTTTTATATACAAATAGATATGCTTCTGGATTGTCAACTGTGTTCCATTGATGTATTTCTCTATTTTTCTGCCAATATCAGATTATTACTGCTTTTTTTTACAGTATGTTTTGCTATCAGATGGGGAAAGCTCCCCTCCCCCCGCTGTTACCCTTCTTTCCAAATTTTCTTGGGTATTTTCATGCACTTAGCATTCCAAATTAAATTTAGAAACAATCATAAAGTATATAATATAAATATTTTGATTGGAATTGCTGTAAATTTCTAAACTGATTTGGATAAAACTAACATTATCATAATATCAAAACACTCCATCCAGGGAACATAGTGTTTCCATTAATATTTTACATGTCCTTCATTAAAGTTTAATAGTTGTCTTCACCTAAGTCATAGTCAGGCGCTTTGAAAGTACTGTGTTTACATTTACATTTACATTTTAATCATACCTATGGAAAAGCCTAAGAAATGACAATCCTTACATTAAGACAACATGGTGTAATAGAAATGGTGCTGAACTTTAGAAGGGAGAAACTAGATTCAATGATCAGATCTTTCAGTTTTTTATGGCTGTTTCATGTGGAGCAACAACACTTAACTTCTGAGTTTGTTTCCCCACTAGAATATGAGATAATAACACTTCTCACAGGATTATTGTGAAGATCAAATAAAGAAGATGTTCAGGAGCACCTAGTGCATACTTAGCACAAAGCAGCCACTATGTGAAGGTCATTCACACATTTATTTATTCACTATTCTCAGCTGTAAAATGGACCAGGTGATGAGGGGTTCTGATATGTTAATTTGCAGGTTCCGTCAAACTAATTCTACTTTCATCCTGGACTAATAGAAGAGTAGGTGGGGTAGAGGGCTGTTAAAACCCCTGAAGCATCTGAGTAATGCTTATTGGATTTGGGCATCAGACTAAAAGACCTCAGCATCCAAAATGAAGTATAAAATTTTCCTTGTGTACAAATTAATGGTGTACTTATAAGTTTATAAAGTAGTATTTAGGCCTTAAAAGTATGAAGACTTAGCCTGGCATAGGAATGAGAAATCATTAAAAAACATTTTTTAGTTTGACCTTGACTATTTAATAAGTGATGCCAACAATTGGAAGAACCCTAATTTCATTCACCTAACCCTTCCAGGTTGTATTACATTCACCTGGTCAGGAGATGATTTTCCATAAGTCAACTTCTAGATTCCTCTTGCCACCTAAGTATACAACTTGTATTCTGGCATTCTAAGGAAACAATTTTTTTTTCTCTATTCTTTTCTTATTCCTTTGCTCTAGTTTTCATGGAGCACCTTTCTGCACAGGTTATCTTCTTTCTTAAGCATAGCTCCACAAGGATAAAATATATTTGTGAGTCATTTTATACCATGCCTTTTGTTTTCACAGTTCCAAAAACCCAGTTTATTTAGTCCATTTATGAGCTGAATGGAATCTGGGGCTACTAGAAACTGTTTAGATTAAAACCGGCATCAGCAATATTTGGTAAAATTCAGTAACTACATCCTGAATAATATATCTTTCTTTCATTTAGCCAACATTTATTACACATAATGTACTAAACACTGGGGATTAAAACGTTTATGAAGACACAGTCCTTGCCCTCAAGAAATTCACACCCAATGAGGAGAATGATAAGTACATATTGGGAAGAGGGCTGTCAAGAAGGATTGTAGACACTATTAAGGGAGCAAAATGAAAAAAAAAAAAAAAACAGAATCTTAACCTCAAATAGACAGCATTTTCCAAACTCCCGTTCTGGGAAACAGTGACCTTGTGAACTATCACACCTTCAACCCCCAAGCAAATGCCAATGTGCCTGTTGTAAGTTTCAGAAACGAAGCATGCTACACTCCTTGGAGGTCCACAATATCCATTAGCAAGGTAAACTTCTGAAGATAACTGTTTAACTTTGTTCACCTAGGATTTCCAAACTTTTTGAAACAGAAGCATTTAATTTTTAAAAACAACTATCCATTCCATAGAACTTGTTTTCTGGGTAATATACTTGGGAAAATACTGAAAGTAGGTTTTGTGTTAATCACTTTCCACTTATCTTAATTACGTCATTAAATCCTTAAAATAATTCTGAGAGGTAAGAAGTAGATCTCTTTATTTCCATTTAAAGGTGAAAAACTGAGGGTTAAATGTCTCTTCCCAAGTTCACAGGGACTGTAAGTAGTCAAATGGAAACTCAGGTCTTTTTAACATGAAGTCCACCTCTACACTCCCTTTTTTGTAATACAGTGTGAACTTAATTTCCTCAGAAGAAAGGCATCACATTTCCGGATAGTTCATCTCAGAAACACATTCTTGGAGCCCAGATCATCAATAGTTTTTTTTTTTTTAAACAACTTATTTTATTATGTAGGTTTGTAATTTTTCAGTTTCCTGAGGATGTTCTTGAGTTTCCTTGTCTTTAAGTGTACCCAAAACAAGGTAACAGTTTTAAAATGGTATGTTCACCAAACCATGTCATCTCCTTTTTCCTGATTAGAATTTAAGGAAGTTAAGATGAAATCATGTGGTTTAGAGTGATTTCCAGAAGCTCTGATTCCATGTCTTGTGTTTTATATAACAATCTCATTTTCTGGGAGAAAACAAGTGTGGAATCTTTACTCTAAGCCTGAATAGCCTTTTACTGAGAGATGTTGTAATGGAACCCAAATCACTTTGCATCAAGTTGCAAGAGTTTGGCTTTCTCTCCACATTTCCCTTGGGGAGATGGGCATTGTCAGGCCTAAAGACTGCGCATCTGGTGACAGCGGCAACTGCCCTGGTCTCTTACCCTGGGAACAGTAATGAATACCTTTGGCTTTTGTCCCTTTCGTTCTATTGAAAATAACGTTTTGTTAGCTCAGGATATTAGACTGTGCGTTTGTCTCTCTTTTTCATCAGCTTTCTTGATAGTGGGTTTAAAAAATAAACAGTTGCTACTGCTGCCATTATCAAAAGACTTTTTGGGCAGGTACAGATTATACATTTTTAATTAAGAATCTAGACTCATCCAATGCAGTACATAGTGGGCTTTTCCTGACTCACTTGCTAGGAAGGGAGCCCTTTATAGTTGTTTTTATATTCTAAAAATGAGTGCTTAATATTCTCCAGCTAAGCAAAACAAGGGGACAAGCTTGTGTACAATTAGGAATAAAGGGCTCAGATGGCTAAAATCTTGGGAATTTAAACCCAGCTCCTTTTATTTTTTCTTTAAAGCTTCTTGAGAAATGTTGAAAGAGAAGACTGAAAGATTTCCATACATTTGTCATTATGCATTTCTTATAAAAACTTAGTTTTAGCAATGACAGGACAGTGCTTCTTGCTCTCATTCTCAGTCTTGAATGCCCTTCTCCCTCTTCTTAAAGTTTATGTCTACTCAACCGTAATACTCACTAAGGTGCCATCTTTTCCAGGACGCTTTTGCAATGATCTTTTTATACATATTTCATCAAACTACTTACCACTCTATACTATTTGTCTGTTAACCTCTTCTATTTTCCTTTATATCTCTAGTCCCAGGTCTAGGGCCTGGTGCACAGTAGGTGGCAAAAGGGAAACTACACTAAATAAGAGATATTCTTCCAGTCCCAAAGATCAAGATGTACCATAAACAGTATTCTGAATGTGGAAATTCATGAACTCCCTGAAATCTTTGTAAGATTTTGTCTGTGCAGTTTTATGTGGAGATACTCTAGGGTTTCTATCAAATTCTCAAATGCACCAGGGACTCCAAAGTAGGTAAATTCCTGGTGAAAATACACTGAGTTTGCTGAGTTTTCAGCTTACAACTTACCACCTTCAATGATACCACCAAAAAAGCCTCTGCATTCATTTAGTTTTGTTTTGTTGTATTTTTCTTTAACTCCAAGGATATCACTACTTAGCATCATCAGAAGCATTGATTGAGAACTTACTTCATGCATGACAGCAGAAGTTGGAAACTGTATTGGTGAATACTCAGTTTTCCTCTGACTCACAAGGGATTTCATATTAAAAGTAAGAGGAAACCTTGCTCAGTAATAGTCTGTACTATATGCAATAATAGAACACAATTTGTATGGGGAAGTGGTAAGATAGATTTCATTCATAAAAAATACCATGCTTCTGGCTAAATGACTTGAAGTCCCAGAGAGAAATGATCATTTTTAGTTCTGGGATACCCTTATGCTACTTACACTTTTTAAAATTTAATACATTCACATGTTCAAAGGTATTGAGATTTTTAAGCTTGTGAATGAAATTAGCAACGTGCTGTGGCTGTCAATGTGATGCATTGCAATTCCTCCTGAGTGGTAGGGTTTGAAAATTAATTCAGCTCTTGCACCTGTTTGCTGGCATTCGTCTGTTGAATTTCCATCACATTTAATAAGTCTCTGTGACGCAACTTGTGTCCTTTTGCCTGGGCTCCTATAATATAGTGTTAAATTCTCATCCATCTGAAATTCAAGTAATATTACAAATTTCAAACTGTTAATTAAAATCTGTGAACTTGAATGGTTCTGGATAAAATTGGCTTTACTCAGTGAGATTCTTTTTAAACTTCTTCTGCGTCTCATCTAATCCCCAACTCCCACCAGGTCAAGTCTGATGACAACATGATCTCATGCTGGGTGGCTGAGGCTTACAAATCCTCATACAACAGGGAAACAAATCAAGTTATAGGCTTCAGTGAAAGGGTAACGAGGAACATTACCTGCTGAGATGAAATAAGAAACATGGCTCAGAATTAAAGGAAAGAATTGATATTTTTCATATACTATTTTTCAACAAAACTAATTCTATACTACCTATGTCTTAAAATGCTTAGCATAGATAGGATAGCCCAACAGAATCATGATTCCTATTACCTATTTAGGTGGTCAACGTTAAACGTAATTATTGAATCTTTAAGGACAGATTGAGGCCTATTTGCCAGATGCTGTGAATTCAAAGCAGTAGTCTAAGTAGGAGGTTTTAGCATATTTATAACCCATAATAAGATACTTTATTTGAACTTTTAGGAATAGTCTACAGGGCATGCAGTACTGCTCTCAAAGTTGGGCCATTTACACTTCCCAGATATGGGAGATGATGACAGGAAAAGGTACTTAACAATGCTCCTCTTTGTCTTGGGAGGTCAGCAGGTACTCATAATTAACCCTCCTGCTCCAAGGTAAAGTTGCCTGCATTCCAGTCGCATACTTCACTTGCAATGGAACACTGCTCAACCGTATTACAATGACCTTCAAAAAATATTTCTCTCTCCCACTGAAATGTAAGCTTCCAGAAGGCAGGGATTGTGTGTTACTTCCAGAAGGCAGGGATTTTGGGCTATCATCATTTTTCTTATAACAGGCTTGTTGAAAGACTAACAGACTATCTGACTGAATTAAAGAAGAGATTATCAATTTCTCCAAGAGCCCATAGCATCTGGATTTTAATTAAATTGTAGATTACAAATATCTTCTTTTTTCCTACCACATCCAAATCCAATATTGAACTGCTCCCTCCCATCTTTTATTTTTCTGCCTACTTTATCCTACTAAATTGATCTAGGAGCAGTGCTTTGGATAATGTCCAGTGAAGGCTTTTGGTTTCTAGAAAGATGCGTATCCATTTTGAAAAACAAAGTTTCAAGGGCTAAAGGCATATATGTGCCATTAGTCTCACTTAAGGGATTTAGTGTAGAAAGGAAGTGCCCCTCCCCCCTCCAAAATCCCTTAAATATACACAAAAATATATATTATATGGTTTTTAATAACAGCCTCCACCAGGAGGTAAGCCAAGTATCTCATAATAAGGTTAAATAAATAAATTATATTTAATTAATTAAATACACATTAAATATAGTATTTCTTACTGATCCATAGTATACTGGCATAAAAATTAAGTGAGTAACATGATAAAATATTAAGTGAAAAAATTCAAAATTATATACATGCAATCATTTCAACTAATGTGAGAATAAATAAAGATAAAGAGATAAAGTGAATATGCAAAATTATAACATTTGTGTTATGGTGGTAGAGTGTTACTACAGGTTTTTAAAGTTTTCACTTGAATTTGTTAACAATGTTGTATGAATTATAAATGAAAATGCTTTTATAATAGAGAATATCTTGCCTGTTCTCTATGATCATGAATTTTAATTATTTTTGTGTATTTGTGAAGTAGATTCTATCAAAAACTAGATAAGGTAAAGTCTTTGTAATGATTAGCTTTTGTCAAGTGCCTATCGTATGCCCACCACTAGGGTATGTAGTTTTAAAATGTAATTTCTAATCATCACAGCAACCTTATAAGTCAGGAACCATTACTCCTATCTTAGAGAGGCTTAGAATGCTTATGTAATTTATCCAAGTTCACACTGCTAGTAAGCTGCAGGGCTGAAATTTGAATCTGAGTTTTTGTATTATTCCAAAACTAATTTCCCATTACTCAATGATACACTAGAGTATAGAGACATGAACCCTGACTAATAATGCAAGAGTGAAGAGGTTTTTAAAAAAAGACTAGTATTTGTTTTTCTCTGTCTGGCTTATTTCACTTAACATAATATCCTCATGGTCCATCCATGTTGTTGAAAATGGCACAATTTTCTCTTTTTTTATGGCTGAGTAGTATTCTATTGTATATACATACTACATCTTCTTTATCCATCCATCAGTTGATAGGCACCTGGGTTGCTTCCAAGTCTTGGCTATTGTGAATAATGCTGAACATAGGGGTGCACAAATCTCTTTGTATTGCTAATTTCATGTTCTTTGGGTAAATACCCAGCAGTGGGATAGCTGGATCATATGATATTTCTATTTTTAATTTTTTGAGAAATCTCCATACTGTTTTCCATTGTGGCTGTACCAGTTTGCATTCTGACCAGCAGTGTATGAGGGTTCCCTTTTCTCCACATCCTCTCCAACATTTGTTATTTTTTGTCTTGTTAATTATAGCCATTCTGACAGGTGTAAGGTGATATCTCATTGAGGTTTTGATTTGCATTTCCCTAATAAATAGTGATGTTGAACATCTTTTCATGTGCCTGTTGGCCAAGTGTATATAGTCTTTGGAAAAATGTCTGTTCATGTCCTCTGCCCATTTTTTGATTGGGTTTTTTCTTTTTTTGTTGTTGACTTGTGTGAGTTCTTTATATATTTTGGAAATTAACCCCTTGTCAGATATATGATTTGCAAATATTTCCTCCCACTTGGTGGGTTGTCTTTTCATTTTGTTCATGGTTTTCTTTGCCTTGCAGAAGCTTTTTAGTCTGAGGTAGTTTTCTTTATTTTTTCTTTTGTTTCCCTTGCTTGAGTAGACATGGTATTTGAAAAGATGCTGCTAAGACCAATGTCAAAGAGTGTACTGCCTATATTTTCTTCTAGGAGTTTTATGGTCTCAGGTCTTACATTCAAGTCTTTAATCCCTTTTGAGTTAATTTTTGCGTATGGTGTAAGATAATGGTCTACTTTCATTCTTTTGCATGTGACTGTCCAGTTTTCCCAGCACCATTTATTGAAGAGACTTTGCTTTCTCTACTGTGTGTTCTTGGCTCCTTTGTTGAAGATTAGGTGCCCACAGATGTGTGGTTTTAGTTCCGGGCTTTCAGTTCTGTTCTATTGATCTGTGTGTCTGTTTTTGTGTCAGTTCCATGCTGTTTTGATTACTATAGATTTGTAGTATATTTTGAAGTCTGGGATTGTGATGCCTCCAGCTTTGTTCTTTTTTCTCAGGATTGCTTTGGCTAATCAGGGTCTTTTGTTGTTCCATATAAATTTTAGGATTCTTTGTTCTATTTCTGTGAAGAATGTCACTGGGATTGCATTGAATCTGTAGATTGCTTTAGGTAATATGGACATTTTAACTATATTTATTCTTCTAATCCATGAGCATGGAATATCTTTTCATTTCTTTATGTCTTCTTCAATTTCTTTCAATAATGTCTTATAGTTTTCAGTGTATAGGTCTTTCACCTCCTTGGTTAAATTTATTCCTAGATATTTTATTCTTTTTGTTACGATTGTAAATGAGATTGTATTCTTGACTTCTGTTTCTGTCAGTTCGTTATTAGTTTATAGAAATTCAACAAGTTGATTTTGTACCTTGAAATTTTGCTGTAGTTGTCGATTATTTCTAATAGTTTTCTGGTGTATGATTTCACTCATATGTGGAAGATAAACAAATACATGGATAAAGAGAACAGATTAGTGGTTACCAGAGGGGAAGGGGAGGGGGGTGGGCGAGAGGGGTAAGGGGGAACATATGTATGGTGACAGATAAAAACTAGTCTATTGGTGGTGAGCATGATGCAGTCTATATGGAAACTGATATATAATAATGTACACCTGAAATTATACAATGTTATAAACCAATACGACCTCCATAAAATAATTTAAAAAAAAAAGACTAGTAAAGAAAAATGGAGAAGCAATACAGCATACTGCTCAATTGTTGGAGTCTATTGGCAACGTCCATTGTCCATTGAAAGAGGACAGAGATGAAGTCAACAACTTATAAATCCTTCTTGCTAGATTATCATTCTCAGCTTCAATTTCTGACATAGGTAACTGAAACACAGAGGACTCTAGACTAATGCTTTCCAATGGACTTTACATAAATGTTAACTTTTTTTTAAAGAAGAAACTATGGTACCTTCAATGTCATTGCAATGTACACTGTCTCTAAAACAGTTCATTGAATAATAATAATTAGGCGATAGAAATCTCCATTCAACAATAATTTATATTATTATTAACAACAACCCACATTCCCTTTTCAAAATCCAAGCCTAGAGCTTCTTGTGTGAGGGCTAACTTGTCATGTTACTAATAAGATGCTGATGTACCTTGACTGAGTTGGCAGCCGGCCCATCCTTAGAGTTCTTTAATGTGATGAAGAAACAAGGGGAGAAAGGTAAAGTAACAGCAAGGAATAATGTTTTCAACAAGAAAGGGATGCTTCCCCCAGTCTTAGCCTTTTCTGACACTGATGCTGAAGCTTCAGGTTCCCAGTCCCTTGACTGCTACATCTCTGCCTGCTGATGTCTTAACCATCCCTTCAAAGAGCAAGACAGCTGCTGCTTGTGTAGGGAGTCTTTCCTGGTGAATCCATTATAAACATGTTTTTCGCATTTGTTCTAGTCACTCAAATGCATTCACTCACTCAATCACCTCCTCACTCACTCATTTTTATGTGTTCATTCAACAAAAGTAAAAAATAGATATCTACTAGAGGTGGGTCTCTATTGGGCATTTAAAATACATTGTCTGATTTAGTTATCCAAGAATCCTGTGAGGTAGTTATTACATCCATATTTTGCAGATGAAGAAACAGAGATTCAGAGAGGACAATAAATACCCAAATTTACAAAGCTGGTAAATGACAGAGCTAGCTCAAATCTACCTGACTCAGTAGTTCTTGCTTTCTCTAATCCAGTCTGTTGGTCCCTTGAACATATTCCCTAAGAGATGGGTGCTGAGGCTATTCAGGTAATTTAGATATGGTCACTCTATCCTTGAAGAACTCACACAGTTGATAAGGGAGACAAAGGGTAATGAAGCGAATGCTCATTAGATATATGAACACATATTGAAAAAGTGAGCAACTTCAAGAGGATGATAAAAAGGAAAGTTCAGGAAGGATCCAAAATATTGATATATAAGCCTAGTCTTAAAAGAA